TTTATGTGCTGAGCCAAAGAAAGTACAAGAACGAATTATTCCGTACTTCATTAGTGGCCGGCATCAAAATATCTCACTCATATATGTGAACCAGAAATATACACAAACACCTAAAATTATTCATGAAAATATCTCACACTTATGCCTATTCCGAGGGGCAGGGAGTCGAGACGACATTCATAGAATCGTACGTCAATATACAGATGATCTAAAAAAAGCATTTAAGATTATTGATAAACATTTGCGAGATCGAGATTTTGTAGTATTCGATTTTACTAAAGCAGTAGATGATCCTTTAAGTGTACGTCTTGGCTGAGATTCCCCTCTGAAATTGGATAAATAGATTGGGACTTTAGACCCGCAAGTAATTTTTCTGTTTTTTGCAATTTTAATTTCTGTTGATCGATTTCACTACGTAATTTATTATTAACATTAACCCGTTCCTCGAGCTGTTTAGTGATTTCTCGCATTAAGAAGCCAAAAGTTTTTTCATTGTATTCTAGTAATTGTCAGGATAAACTATTTAACTCTTTTTTAACTCGAGAATTGATCACCTCCTCACATGCAAAGCAAAAGTACTTTTGTGTTTGGTTACAGGTCAGAATGGTATCTTGGGTTTGAGTTTCTTGGTTATACTATATGATAAATTTTCAAGTGGTGTTGGGCTTCGACGCTGACGTTCTTTTTTCTTATTATAAACTATAATTTCATGTTGCAAAAAATCTTCAATATTTGGGTCTATACCACATGCTTCTAATTCTGTCAGTGGATTATGCTTTCTTGTAGTTAGACGTTTCCACGATTCTTCAACTAAGGAAGGTGATAACTGCTTTATTAAATCTGTATATGCTCGATTGAATTTCATTTGATATACCGAGTCAAAATTCTGTCGAATTCTATAGAATCCTGAAAAGTTTGTAGCTTAAAACAAAAAAAAGTATGAAATCCGTTATATGTATATTAATTATCAAAAACAGTTGTGAAGTGCTTATATATTAAATGATAATTTAACCCGCTATTCTTTTTACGAGACATGTTGATTGAATATGTAACCAATTCAAATTGGCATAATGCCGTTGATATACTTGATAAAATTTCGCAAGTCGAAATATAATATCTTTTATAATTTATTGTATACCTCTAATGTATGGTACAAAAACTACTCGCAACATTCGCAATAGGTAAACTTTAACCTATGGAGGGATGCCATCTCAGGCTTTGGTCCAGAAATTTGAAGAAACAGATCTATTCCTCGTTGATGCTATTGCCCAAGCGGACGCATTCCATGATCAAGAAGATTACTATACCGACTATGCGCGAGGGCAGATCGTTGATCGGGGTTAGAAGAACCTTGGTTAGAGAGTGATCTTCCACGTAGGGATCCAACGCAATCGCAATCTGTTTTGAATCTGCGATATCATGGCTTCCGGGGTCAAGTTGTTGATCCAATACGACACCCTGAATTATCGTTAAGATTTCTAGAAAACGATCTCAGAAGGAACCAGGTTGGACCTGATATTAATAAAATTTCGAAGCAAATGCAATGTCGCAAAACTGGTCTTACTATAGGAATGGGTATTAATGCCGATACTCAAGTTCCTGAAAGGCCATAGACAGAGAAAGCCATCAGGATTGAACATAAAGAGATACATAATTAACTTAAGGATAATACTCACGTTTTCTCTACACAAAGGGAAGAAAAAATTAATGAAGTGACCCCACCTAGTGAAACTAATTATGCAGGACACACTATAATGCGAAATCCTGAAGAGTGACAAAAAATACTTTCCAGTGGAGATTATTGCCTATATAATGAATTAATTCGTAAGTATACTAATTCTGGCAATAACGCACCTTCTTATGTGCCGTGGCGGCATGTTATGGAAGAAACTAAATTACCTGTACAAAAATATGGTAAGGTACCCAGTTCGTATACTACCCCCTTGAAAGATAGGAATATTATATTACAGAAGGCAGATCAATCGTGGAATCTTCAGCAATATGGTAATACAACTGGTTTACATATCACTCCCTCAAAAGATAAAAACATAATGTTGCAGAAGGCAGATCAATCGTGGAATCTCCAGCAAGATGCTAATACAAATGGTTTACATACTACTCCCTCAAAAGACAGAAACATAATGTTGCAGAAGTCTGATCAATCATGGAATCTCCAGCAAGATGCTAGTGGGTCGAGACACGTTTTATTCGATATGTATATGGTTTTGGCTACTAAGAGAATGTTTCAAGCTGAAACTGCGTTTGGTCAAAATAAAAATTCTCGATTAACTAAACCAGGAGGAGCTTTACTCATACCTATATCAGCTATACACTCTAAAGAACAAAAGGGAGATCAACGATTAGTTTTGCCATCTGGTTTTGAAGAATCTATTTCTAAAAATAGCAGAGAACTTATTTTTTTTTCGAATCCTTATCCAATAAGTGAAATACAGCGTGAAGAGCAACAAAGACACCTATCGCTACAAGACCTAACTTCCCATACTGGAACATTCCGGAGACCAATCCTTACTTCAGATCCCTATCCAATAAGCGAGATGCAACATGAAGAGCAGGAGAGACATTTAACATTGCAGGATATAACATTTCACACTGAAGCATTTCGAAGACCAATTCCCACTTCAGACTCCTATCCAATAAGCGAGATGCAACGCGAAGAACAGGAAAGACATTTATTATTGCAGGATATAACATCTCATGCTAAAGCATTTCGAAGACCAATTCCCACTTCAGACACCTACCCAATAAGCGAGATGTAACGTGAAGAACAGGAAAGACATTTGTTATTACAGGATGTAACATTTCATACTAGAACACTTCGGAAACCAATTCTACCAGATGATCTGGAATTTCTTTATTGGCAACAGCAAGAAGAGCAAAATCGAGACATAGCTTCTTCTTCACAAGAATCGCATCTGACTAAAGGGGTATTACCAGCTATATATCCAGAAAAAGCGGTACAGAGTAGTCTAATTACTAATACATTTCCTAATGCACATTTAGCAAATGTCGTTGGGATAATTCGATCACTTCGAACTGGAGATGATATGTGACATACATCGGGGCTAGGTTTCTTTGATTCAATCAGACATCTTGCTACTTCAGAAAGATCCGCTCCTTCGCAAAAAAACTCAACTTTCTCACATAAACAAGAATTCATATGACATTTAAACCAGGTATTACCTAAATCCGCTGGAGCTGATTGATACAATATCCACGTTTATAGTTCTGCCCCTCCGCAGATTTCAACAGAAAGATCGAACCCAGATACTCTTTGACAACATACTTATGAAAATTCACCTATATTTGGGCCACCTCTTCCTGAATGGCGAAGTCATATCGACGATACAACAGTTTTGGGAAATTCAGCAGAAACTGTCTTCAGATCTAATGAATCTGGAGTTCATAGCACTGCACCTACTGGACCTAAAACTTTACGTGCACATCAAGAAAGCGATTCTATGAACTTGCATGATGGATTGGTTAATACTTTTTAGCCGTACTAGCTTCGTTAAAAAAGATAAGTTAATTATATATATTTATTTTATTTATTGTTAAACTATAATTCGATCTAATACATGTTGTACGTTTAGAATTACATAAATTCAACAAAAAAAATGTTACCAGCCCTCAGGGATAACGAAATAAATAGATATATATATGAATAAGTTATATAATTAATAAATAGATTAAATCGAATAAATAGATGTGTATATTATACGTTTTTAGATAAGTTATGTATTGTTAACTTGACGCATTTCTGCTCTAATATTTTGTAAACATGCATAATGAAAGGCAAGCTCCTGAGCAGTTAATCCATCAGGACGATAAATCCATTCAACAATCTTCTTCTGTATAATTATACATGCTCTGATTTTTTTTCCAGCTTCTCTTGCACGTTCGACCTTTTTGATAGCATTCTGCATCCATAATCTATATCGATGTAATGCATACTCATTATCGAAATTATACGTAGAATTAGATTTTTGCTTAATTTTCAAGTACTCATCAAAAAGTATTTCCTATACAATGAGAAGCCTAATGCCTCTCCATTCCTATATGGTTATAATTACCTATATTTTTAGTTCGTTTTCCGGTATATACTAATCGATCACAAGAGAAGCAGATAGCAATTCCAATTTCAGGCGCATAGCTATCATAATTTCCTTGATATTTATTCCAAAGTCTTATTAATTTCCTAGTTTCGAGATATTTTTTACTATTACAAGGTAATAGATCATTCTTTCTGAAATATGTAAGACATTCCCAAATCCGTTTCATCCATTCACTGGGTGTTTCACCCTTCTGAATTTGTGGCATCTTCACATATTCATCCCATTCAGCATCAGTACAATTAGTACTACGTAATACACTTAAGCTAACCATTTTATATGATCTATTTGTAGTGTTTATAGAAGTTATATGTGATTTATATCGTATTTAGGGCTTTAGACCTATTATATTTTAATAACTTATACTATAGAATATATCAGATTCATTTTTTGTTAATTTAGCGTTTCAGTGTATAAGAGAATAGAATCAAGACTATCTACTATTGAGAACATTGTTAATCTTTCTAGCTCATTATCTTTCAGCTCTTTAGAATCTAGCTCAGATAGAAACGCTCTATTCCTCAGACCTAACTCAAAATTATCTTCTATTTGTCGATATTTGTTGTAAAAAAATTATATGTGTCTTGAGTCGGAGACCCGTGGCTTTGTCACTAATACTATTTCAAAGAAATGGCTCTCCGAGCTTAACTCCATTATTATTTTGGCGTCAGGTCGTCGTTGAAATTTTGGAAAAAGTAAAGAATCTCGAGTTCGGGTATTGGTATTTATAGCAGAGCTAGTTCTCTGTATTTATATAGAATTGCTCGTGTAGATATTGCAAAGCAACGAGGCTCTAACTGGTTATGTATGACTGCTTATGGCGATTGATAGAACATATGAAATTAACAAATGGTCCATGATTGCCACATGAATAAAAATCTATTTCAGCCATATGCTTCATTCTCGGATATAAGCACCAAAACTGGTTCAGGCACGTAAGTGCCCTTATTCCATAAGTAAATTGCACTGGTAAATAGTTGTGAGAATTTTAACATGTGCAGATGTCGATAACGAACCATTTTTACTAATAATTATTATGTGTTTATTATATAATGTCTGAATTACGTGAAAAACTATCTCAATATATAGGCTTTGAGCCTGAGGAAATCCACCTCCCAATCACAGATGAGGATAAACAGCTTTTTCGGGAATTGATAACAGGTCAGGAAGAGATGATAGATATTGTAATGAACGAGTATCAGTTTTTGCAACATTATGGACATAATTATAAAGGAGGGAGGTTGATCCATATAATGTGGGTATATATATGTACCGAGGGTGATGCTAAGAAAGTGTTGATAGATGTACCTCCATCTAACATATTATCGAGAAAGGTTTTAGCTCATATTGAAAAAAGATTCGAGGATTTACCACTTGCGCCAGTGATTATAGTTGATTAGATAACTTGTGTAACTTGACGTTTCTGCTAAAATAATTAACCTTCATGTGATATATGTGTCATAGAAGGAATTCGAATGTAATAGAATCTGCATGCAGTATCTGGTCATGCAATACACCGATTACCAAATTTAATTAGTGCCACTTACACTCTGCATATCTATGTGAAAAATTTCTCAAAAGCAGATATATAACATCATTTTTTATTCTGCCAACTTCATATTTATGGGCAAAGCCCAGTGTCTTCGACACATATTTACCGTAAAACTAATCTGATATGTTGTACTTTTTACAAATAGGGGTAACGATAACCTGGTTTGAATAATCGACTTGAGATATGTACATACTCTTTGTTCTCGTGCATATACTGGACTTCTTTCTTAATCCATGAGTCGAGATACTAAAAAAGGGAATAATGAGACGCGTTAAAAGGAGAGTGTATCGGCGTTTTAAAAGCTTTATTTGCGTTTTTACTATAGCATTACCTGTATACAATTAAAATTTTTATTTTCACTATGTCAAGATTAATAGCAGAAATCGAATCTTTTTTGTTAGAATCTCCTTTAGAAGCCATTTGCAGTGGATCCATTTTTTACCTAACCATGAATGGAGATGAAATAGCAGATTATAATACTATTAGAAATTCAACAGAACGTGCAGTACGATCCGCATCACAAAAAATAGAAAATAAAGGGAGAAAAGAAAAAGTAGTGAATATATTAATGGAAGTAAGTAATATACTATTAT